ATCTAATTTTATTCTGAATTTAAAGTCCATGCACAGATATATTTTGTTGTAGTTCATCTATACATAAAACAAAAATTATGCACATATATTAAAAACTAATGCGCAAGGAGCATTTTTAAAACTAGTTTAAAAAATTAAATTTTTTTTTTAAAAAATCAGTTTATAATAGTTTTTTAAAAAATATATATTTAAATTCTGAAATATAATAATCATTTATACTATACTGATTCCATTTTCAGCTAATTAAGCTAACAATTTAAGAAATTAGTTTTAATGGTCCACACCGTCCCCTTAAAGCAAGAAGGGGCAATGCCAGAGAGGGGGGAGGGGTAAACAAACCACTAAGACCCCTCTCACCCCATCCCTCTACCCTATCCAGATACATACTGACAGTTATTAACAGTATACTACCCGTTCTCGTGTTAACAGCGCTATGATCAATTTCGTCAGTGAATAGAAGCGACATACAAGGCATTTCATTAGCATAAAGAAATCATTAATTCCAAAAACCGTATGAAAGGCATCAATTTGGAAAATCGTAGGGTGAACACTTCCAACAGAAAATAATAATGTTTCTGAGAAGTAGCGGTAAAAGTACCGTGAGAATTGCGTTTCGAGTAGTACTAAAAACCTAATGATAAAAAAATTATTGCGCTTTTACCTTTTACTTCCCCCTCCCCTTTCCCTTTAAAGAAAAAGAAACCCTTTTAAAACTGAAGAACGCTTAGATGTGTGTGAGATCAAGAAAAAAAACTAAGGCATGAAATTATAATGGGGGATCATTATATATTTTGTGATTTCGGTTAGAAGAAATTTAACGATGATTATTAGGTCTTGTTTCATGGAAGCATAAAATTCATTGCGGTTATAAATTATAATATCAATAGCTGTTCAATAATAAATGGTTTTTAAAAAATAGGAAAATGAATATTTATTACTTCTATTTGAATTAGTGTATTCCCTATATATATATATTTCTCTGATTTATTTTATTTTATTTACATATATTTTTTCATTACCTTTTCTTTCCTTCAGTTTTTATATTTATTTTTATTTTTATTATAAGTCTTAGTATATTATGTTATTTCTTAGTTTTATATTTCTTTTCAATTCATTATTTGCTCCTTGAATTGTACTTCAAATCTTGTGTTTGTTAAATATTTTTTTTAATAACAAGGAAATTTTGCTGGTGAAAAAAAAAATTCTTTGAGCCATTACACTATAGTGTTCGATTTTATGAAACTTTCTACAATAAAATAACTTCGGCTTCCCATTTTGTATGTGTGTGTTATCCAAAATTCCCTTAAACATTTTTTTCCGAATTCTTATACTTTTTTTTTTCGTCTCCGGCCCCAAATAAAAATAATTTATATGTATTTAAACGAGAGAAATCATACCCCTACTTACGCGGTTGTCACTCAGTCCCATCTATCGTCTAAGTTCGGGGTATTACTGTACATCAGGGGTGGGCAGACCTTTCTAGGATACGGGCTACTTCTAACTTTTTCAAGGTGTTGCTTTCCACCCAGTAAAGTAGGCAGTGGCGTAACGTACACCCTGCATCGCGGGGGGGGGGGCGGCAGGATTATAGGAAGGCCCAAAGCCTGAATGACGTTAAGTACTTACCCTTTGTAAGATTCGGCTTGGGGCCCAAAGCATGACCTTGCAGGGGGGAGGGGAGCCCTAATGTTCTCCGATACGCCACTGAACGCAGTTGTTGTGAAGTAAGAAAAATGTCTACAATATTTATTATAACTATATAAATATGGAATATGTACTAACTAACTAATAATATCAAATGGTGCATTTATTATCAAACAATTCAAAATAAATTAAAAAATAGAACACTTTCATCTGAAGTTAATATTTGTAGTTGTAGTCGAAAAAGACTTGTGACGGGCTCACGCGTCTTTTCTTTAACATAACCTCAGGGTTCTTTGGTTGCCAAGATTAATGGCAACTCTTTTCCAACCAAAACCCAAGAAGCGAAATGTGAACAAGAAATGCAAATAAGATAGATTTTAAAAGAACATAAGTTTCAGTAAACAGAATGGCAATTTGGGTAAAGTTATGTTTGAAGAGATACAAGCGTGAATTGACAGCAACTCGTAAAGTTACTTGGAAAGTAAACCAGTAATACAAGGTGCATACCATTGCACGCGCACCCAGACGTCCCCATATAGAAATCTAATCTTAGTTGGATTAAGGTAGGACTGATTATTTGATATTAGGACTTGTAATATAATTAAAAGTGAGATTAGGCGGATTGAATAATGATTTAGAGAAAGTGGTCTAAGTTACGCGATTCGGTTTAATTATCTTTGTGTTTGTTTGTTCTCTCATTCTAGATTCTCGATATTTAAATTTATCTAAATTGTTAGACATTTAAGTTTTATTCTTAATAAAGTCATATTAAGAATGAATTTAAAATGTCTATTACTTTTGAAAACCTTACACCTCTAGCTCACGCTGACAATCAAAGATACGGTCACCAAAGGGGGGCTATATCACAGACTTAATGTGTGCATACTGTCAGCTAATCTTGAGTATTTCGGTATATAATTACAAACTGCTAATCTTCAGTGGTCACCCCAAAGTGTCTTGGCGGTCCACCTGGCGATCGCGATCGACTTAATGCTTATCCCCGCTGTACATCATGCATACCATCTCTTTTTAAGGTAGCAAAAATAACCCATTCTTAAAAGACAACTTCTCTAAGTGACCAATTTTAGGTGCATTAGGTGTAGTTTAAAAGAAGCCTAATGCATTTTTTATTTTAAATAAAATAGTATTACCATAGAAACTCAGGGAAGTCGTAAAAAGACCACAGGATATGCAAAGACCGGTGATTCTAGTTTTCTCAGCAAATAAGACGGATTTTCTTTTTTCATACTCTCCCAGTTCTGTCCATCAATTCAAATTCGATACAACAGAATTGTTTTTTAATCCCCTTTTACCTCTTCCCGTATCTCAAGAATACAGATTTATTGCTTGGTTTTGCGTTTTTGACCAATCACGTAAAGGAATTATTGGAAGCATTTTGCCATAAATATTACTTAAAACAAGTCCTTCAAAATTCGCATTTTTTTTTAAAAAAGAAAATTGCAGAGGAAAGAATCGACATCGACGGTATCAGTTGTTATTGTTGGAAGGAACAGGTAATTAGTGTAAATCATTAAAGATAAGTATTTAGGAGTTGTGTGTTTTTGCTAAGTGTTGCCACCCAAACTGAGAATACTTTTTCACAAATAAAAATGGCCCAATATTAAACTTTTATTGTTGTTGCGTGGAATAGATTCCACAATCCATCCATAAGCATTTTTTTCAATATATATATATATATATATATATATATATAT